GTGGATTCCGGAGTTGAGGCATTACGCTCCGGGTGTTCCTATTATTCTCGTTGGAACAAAGCTTGGTTAGATTTTTATTTTTATTTAATTAAGATTAAGATGATCTAAAGTTAACTATATACAAGAAAAAAATGAGTCTTTTCGTTTGAAGAGCTTACGTAGGATTTATTGATGCTCTTTTTGGAATCAGATCTTAGAGATGATAAGCGATTCTTTGTCGATCATCCTGGGGCAGTTCCAATTACTACAGCTCAGGTAAGAAGAAGGCATATATATATATATATATATATATATATATATATATATATATATATATATATATATCTGATAATTTACAGCCTCCCGTTTTGAGCCTAATTTTCCGTGTAGGGGGAAGAACTCAAGAAACTGATTGGAGCACCTGCGTACATCGAATGCAGTTCAAAAACACAACAGGTACGTAAATGCAACTCTTTTTTTTTTTTTTTTTTTTTTTTTTTTGGGATAAGAGTATATAAAAATAAATTGATGTTGCGTCGAAATGCAGAATGTGAAGGGGGTGTTTGATGCGGCGATAAAGATAGTACTGCAACCACCGAAGCAAAGGAAGAAGAAGAAGAAAGGGAACAGAAACTGCTACATGTTGTGAGAGATAGGTAAAACAACGGAATTTATTATTATTCTTATTCTTAGAAGGTCTTGGGAATATTCGAGTCTCGAGAAAATAACCATTGTAAGAAGGAATATGTAATTGTAACTGTCTGGTTCGTAAACCCTAGTTCTAAATATCACAAGACGAGAAGCTTCTAGAAGATGACGAGTAGGTGTTAAGTGTTGGGGCATTGTATCTTCTTTTCTGTTTTTTAATTTTTATTTTCAATATCCTATTTTCTTCAGACAGTGCTATGTAACTATATACACTTGGTTGTAGGCATTTTGGTTTTCTGGCATTCTGGTTTAAATGGTTTTGAACATGCGTTCGTATCGAAAAGAAAATAATAAATATGCATGTATTATCGAAAAAAACATAGAAAATGACAAATATTTTCGAACTAATTAAGAGTATAAACGGTAAAATCAAAGAAAAATATATAATTAATTAATGCATTATTGTAACTATTACAAAGGAACATAAATAAAGTAGACTAGAAGGGACGAAAAAATATGATAGCATAAATATTTTTATTTTTATTTCCTTTTCACATACAAAGATCACTGAGTTTTCGTATACAACAGAAGTTTTCAAAGTGACAGGAGTCGACTCGACAACAGAAGGGTGTGAATAAATTAAATTAATCACATTTCGGAAGAAGCATAAAAAATGTCACAACTTAATAGAACCATATTTCTCACCCATGGGACCATCTTTTTGCTTCTGGAAGTGAATATAACGCAACGTGCTCGTAAAAAATGCATCTGAAGCATGATTGGCCGTTGTACTGTCACTCTGCATCTCGGTTTTAATTAACTCTACAAGTCCCTGAATTACAGAACCTGTTATCTGAGGGTTTCCCTTCTCGAAGAAATAAAGGTACCTGGAGCATATTCAAAAGAGAAGAATCAGGAGAAAAAACTCGGAAATGATATTTATATTTAGAGATATAAACAGTTTTGATGGACTAACTTGTTGAGTATTTCAACGAAGAGTGTTACGGGCCCGCTGCTACCCCTGGTAACATTTGCCATCTGCTGAGCCGCATTGGCAATCCTTAACGAACGCTTTAAGCAAAGTAGAGCCCTATAATACAAATAATACAGGAACATCAATTATTTTTAAGAATTGAAAAAAAAAATACTGCAAACAGTTATTTTTAACCTCGAGTCGTTTTGTAATTTACCATATTTTATCTAAGCGATATCATACGAAAATGTACCTTTCTCCATCTTTAACACCATCCGGTTCATCAACCCAGAAAAGATGGGAACAAGCATAAACTGCTCTGCACTGATCCGGCTTCTTTAAAAGTTTAGCCGAATACTGAAAAATAAAATGCATTAGAAAGATGATATTTGGAATACGACACTCGGGAAAGATGATAAAGTTAGTTACCCCTGTGGCTTTATGAGTCAAGGTATCTCGATTCTCAACGCCAAAAATGTTCATTCTCTGCAGCGTCCCGATTATTAGGTGAATAGCTGTCACCTGGGCTTTAGAATCCTGAAAAAAAAGTACGGAATATAATAACAAGTTACATTTTAGAAAACAAAAGCTTGTGTGAAATAATATGTACTTGATACATACCGCAACTTCTTCCTCGTATAAAACAAAAGCTTGTGTGAAAAACTCATAAGCCACCGGTTCAAGTTCACAGTCATTAGCAGCCTGTGAACATAAATTGTCAAATAAATGCAACAACGTAAGATGCCTGTAAATATACATGCCGATCTTTCTAAATTTTACGAAATTTTTGCGCAGTCCAAACATGCTTATTCAAGCATGGGACGCTAATTTTTTTCCTTTCGGAATGTGCATACTAGTTTCCCTAGATAAAGTTCATCCACTATCCACCAATGCGGCAGTAATGATAAAACTTTTACCTCTGCACATTGCAAGTAGAGCCTCAAAGCCAGTTCAGGTGATGGAACAACTGTCAGACTCTCGATAATCTGTGACAAATAAAAGAATATACTTGTCAGCATTGTTGATTGAACTCATTGGTGAAAGGTTTCTAACATATAGCCAAAGGATATCTGAAAGCAGAGCCAATAATATGGTTATACTTGTCAATTGTACATCGAAAATAGAAATGTCACTTGGATTTTCATATTGTGCTTGCTTTGTGCTAACTTAGAGAAATTTAACTTGATTTACTCTGCAAATTAACTTAACTAATAGTATGGAGAACATATTAACATATTAATCAGAAATTGATCTGTATTATAACGTTTTGTCCAAGGTCGTATGAGAGTAATCTTCGTTCAGTAATGGGATTAGCCATATCTGCAGATGCCTTCCAATCAGTTCTGAACAAAAACCTTTAGGAATTTAGATTACATGGCAAAAAATCTTCTTATTACATTTTCATACAAGATCTATGCGACTTGGTAAACCAAATTGATTCAAACATACCGAAGTCAGAAACTTAAAAATTTGAACCTTTATTACCTGATTCAAGAGCTGAAATATTTTCTTTGGGGTGGCTGGAACTTCTTCTCCAGCTACATCTCCATCTTGGCCTTGCAATCTCCTAACCAACTAAACTAGGAAAATGCGTCAGAAATATGAAGTTTCTTCTCTTACAAAGAAATGGGAGGTAGATGCTGGAAATATGAAATGCTTCAATTATTTGGTCTACCCTCATTAACTTTTAAGAAAGAAATGCATCACTGCCGACAGTAAGGACGGAAAAGAACAAATTTCAAAGTTGAACACGTAAAAAAGCTAAAATTATGCATCATTTGGGAATCATTAGAAATAGAAAATCTAGGTAGTACAGGTACATACAGGTCGACCAAGGTCAAATATTACGAAAAGCTCGTAAGTAATATCTGGATGTATTCATTTTTCAAAAAATATATTCCATAGCTATGAGTGCCGAAGTCTGAATCAGCTATTACATATAAGCGGTGATTTTACCATGTATTAAAATGTACTTTTTGGTATCAGATATTTGACTTCTGCATTCCAATAAATTATTGTACCATAAGTATTCAGACTTCAGTGGTCTCCAGTATATTTGAAAAATCAAAACATCTATTCAATGTATTACTACTGACCGCCACCCCCACCCCCTATCTCATCTGACCTATTGTGTTTCCGACCAAATAATAAAAAGATACAGATGTTTTAGTTCCACAAAGCCATACCTTAAGAGCAGAAAAAACAAGAGGAGGAACTGTGAAAGATAGGCGTTTCTGACCTCCAGCCGTTATATGTTTCCACACTGTACATATTATCTGACACAGTTGAAAATAAAATGCTATATAAAACAACTGCCTTATAATAGTACAAATCGTAAAGAAAGCATAATCTAGTTATAAAAACGGATGTCTGGCATATTAACAACAACTAAATCCAGACTCAACATAACTAGTCATGCATTAACAAGTTCCTCACACTCAAGTCACTTGAAGCACCATCACGTGTTTCAGGGCCTAATTTATCATAGCCAGAAACTACAATTTATCAACATTCTGCCAGCAAAGAAATGGAAAGGCCAGGCGGCGTAGCCTGCCATTATTGCAAAAAAGGAAAATAAATCGGAAATGGACTAGATAGAAAATAAACTAATCCAACTTTTGACGAAGTATGTCATCCATACATAGCATTTCCAGGACAACCCACCAAGTCGACTACATGACAGTGAACTGGTATATCATTTGGCAGCTGTCAGTAGTCAAATTTTGTTTACGCAGAGATTGTGACAGCACCTATGTTTCTGAGGTGTTAACTAAAGTAGCATTGAAATGAAAGGAAACATACACGAGAAAGCATAACTATAGCAAGAGATGCATTACCTTTAGCATCTCATCTGGGTCATCATTATACAACATGTGCATGAGGCAAGCAACAGAATTTTGCTCCTCGTGGAAATCTTCTTCATCAAGCTATTGGTCATGACACAAGGAAGGATGTAGCTATAAACACATAGGGAATGAACTAACGAAATCACTAGCACCCTAGCAGATAGTACAATTGAAAAGCTTTTGTGTGTACCTCGTCTGTAGAAATCCCTTCCAAATCCTTTATAAGCCCTTTTATCAGTTCAAAAAGTACCTCAACCTGAAAAGAAAATCTATATCATACTTATTCCATGTAAAAACCAAACGACTGGAGAAAATTGAAGAATATTATACCTTGTCAGAAGTTGAAACAAAAGTTTTGTTTTTCATAATGCTTTTGATGATAACCATCGCCATGATTTTATTTGTCCCAGCATCAAGGTGATCCATTACTCGGGGATAATTAGAAAGTGTAAGAGCTGTGACGATATCATCGTATTTATCCAGTGGAGCACTCAGAAGGGCAACAACTTGTTTTGTTGCTTTACTATCTTCGAGCTTTGGTATGCCAGATAATTTTTTGACACACGATCCCTTTGAAAGATCAAAAGGTAAAATGCAGGTAAGAACCTTCAATTATACACTTTGGTTATGGCAATCAATTGACTCTGTTAGATACTCTGAGTTCATGTACACACAATTAATTTCAACACTTATCAATAAACAAATAATCTTTGTTGGTGACAATCTAAATCATGCTCAATCATTTTTTTTAACATAAGCGTAGTAGAAACCGAAGATTGTGATGGAACCAACAGACTACAGGCATATAAGCCTGGCATTTATCAAAATGCCGAGATGGAACTTCTACATTACCAACTCAAAACGAAGCATACCAGCACTTGATCCACATAATCCAGCCGATCAGGGTGAACACGAAGAGTGAAAGTCAGAAGAGACACGTACAGAGTGATTACTCCAACAATAGGCATATCAACTTGTGCTTCAATAACCTGCATACGAAACCACTTAGGTATTTTTTTTTTAGCAAAACGGCATCCAAAAATATTTAAAAGGTGTATATATATATATATATATATATATATATATATATATTATTTTCTTCTCTTTTCTTTTCTTTTTTTTTTTTGAAATTTCTCTTTTCTTTTTTGATTATTATTATTATTATTATTATTATTATTATTATTATTTTTTTGAAATTTTAGTGACTCAACTGCATGGTGCTAGTTGTCAAATTAACTAACAGACAAAGGTGAATACAGTCACACGCATCCTTTTTTCACCTTAGGAGGTTAGATTACATATAATTCAGATACATATTCCAATTACCATTCAGTTTGCCCTAGCTAAATTAATTTAAGAATATAAACTTTACCTTTCCGATTGCATTGCTCAGCTTGGAAAATGCTTCAACTTGTAAAAATTCTGGTAACAGCTATATAGGAAAAATAGTCAAAACATTATTCAGTGAATGAATCTTTAGAAAGTAAGTTAGTTAGGGACTCACTTCAGGACTTGAGGAAGCGTAGTTCGACAACCTCTCCATCAGTTGTGACAACACTGTTTTCAGGTCAACTGTTGGCTGAGAATCAAAGTAGAGCAACATCAAGAAAATTTCACTAACCAAGGGGGGGCACCAGTTAAGTTCACAGCAACAAATGCTTGACGCAAGACCAAATGTTTACAAAGCAGAATAGTAAAGATGAAACATTACGTTCAAACTTCATTTTTAACAAGATACGACTAACATTCAAAAGTTGCTATTTATTTTTTTATTCTTTCCACCGATACTAAAAATAACTACTAAGCAAAATTACTAATAGTGCATGTATATCAATTGCAACTGATCCCTACACAAAAATCGTTTCGGTTGTTGACAAAGAGTGCTCAACGATTTAAGCAGATGACTGTAATAGCTTTTGCCCCTACCTACAAATAACTATAGTCAACCACCGTTGCCAAATATCATTTCTTAGATGTCAAATGACTGTGTCAATTTTCCACATAATTGCTACACATCAAGTCACATAAGTCAACTTGCAAACAGATATGATGCTACATTGCTTATCAATAAAATTTTACTCTGAAACTCTTTGCAATAAAACAAAGCAGTTTAATTCAGTCCTCGTATCCTATTATACAATGTCTGAGAGAATTTGACAGACATACCTCTATCTTAGAATTGAATGAAAAGAAAGAGGAAGTACTTTAGAAAATGTGTGTCATTATAAAGATAGATTGCTCTATTCCTATTGCACCATACTTGGAAAGCCATATTGAAAAAAATCCATTGTTTTTTACAAGCAGAGAAACATCTTGTAGGAATATCCATCGTCAAATTAGGAAAGAAATAGAACAAAGGTATATAGTCTAATAGGAAACACAATGCAAGATTGACAACGCACTTGAAGTTGGGGGCAGGCACCCAATAATATCTCGAGGGTCTGCAAGTGGTACTCATCTGGAAAGACCTGAATTATGCAGTCCATCAAATAGTATTGCGCAAGTTCATCCTTACAATTGACAATCTGTCATAAACATTGAGAATGCATATTCAGAGGAAGACATATTACATTTAAAATCTTAACAAGGTAGAGCTGCAGCAAAACAGATGAACCAACCTGCTCCAAAACTCTGGGAAGAACGGTGTCTCTGTATAATTCAAGGTCAATACCCTCTATCTGACTGAGGACATGTAAATTTTTTCCCACCTAAAATGGCAGGGAGATGGATGAGTGACACCATAACTGAAGCTAAAAGGATTGACGTACGATTAGGACAAGATAACTGATTGATGGAAGTGGCATTACAAGATCACGCAGTTCGTTCCGCTCTTTTTCTAGTTTATCTTTCTCCCTGAGAGGTCCCTGCAGACCATAAATCCGGAAAGAAGGCCTCAACTCAGGATCACCAAAGCAAATATGTGCATCATAAGCATTATCACTCCTGCATGCCCAAAACATGCCCTCAGGATTTATTTCACCTTTGTGGCATGCAAGTTTTCAGATGCTATGCACGTCTAGAGTAAATGCTAAAAAGAATTGTGAGAGATTCACAAACCTGGTGCTGCATCCGGACCCATAGTTTATTCATCTCCGTGAAATTTTGCAGCACAAATTCTACAGCATCCATGACAGTGTCACCATCACTATAAGCAACAATTGACTCAGTCAATAAAGAAAGAGGCAAATCAAAATCAATAGCAGCAGAATCAAGCATTATTTCATAAAATTAGAAGTTTAATCAGTAAAATCTATCTCATAACTGATTAAATAATTATTTCAACTCTTACAGCACAGAAGGAAATTTTCTGTGTAAGAGTTAGCACAGAACTGATGAATTTTGAGACTGAGAGTATTTCCATGTTACAACATGCATCCGTCAATCCCAATTTGAACGTCCATGTTTGAATTGGCATAAAGTTGTGGATACAGCTATTATACACTCAAAACTAAAAAAATAAACATTTTACTAGTACTGACTAGCGAATCAATGTGAAGCAAAAAAAGTTAATACTTGATCATAAGATGATCAAAAGCGTCAACCGTGTTAAAGATAAGCAAGGTGAAACTTCAAAGATGAAAACTATTAAGTGAAGATACCAAAAATTTGGACTATGATGTCAAAATGCTGAATAGTATGCCGTGAAGTAGGGGACAAGGTATTTCTCTTACCCTTCATACTCTGAACCAATATCTGGTAACTTATCTCTACTAATTTGAGCAAGATAGCTCCTCAAAAAGAGCCCGCGAATGGGATGTTGAACAGAGCGACACATTTCGACAAGATCTTTAAGAACATCCTTAGCTGGAGCCTCCTTTGACTTTATATAAACAGAACCAACCGTGCAAAGAAGATACCTAATATATTTACAAAGAAATATTAATATGCATCACGCGAGCATCTATTATAAATTTATCCAGTGAATCAACAGTGTAAAAGAGAATACACTGGTACATATGTGAAAAACTGAAAATGTCGAGACCTTAATTTCATAACTCTAAATTATACGATTATAGTTTTATTTTTAATTCAGGCATATAATATAGACTCTACATGCTACGGTGGTGGAAAATACATGTAAGGCAAGAAAAAGTAGAAATCATTACAACAAGAGTACTTGTGAATGTCGAGTAGATGGTTGTGATAATAATACAGCTTACCATGAGTGCTTAAACATGTATTCGGGTATAATTAATGGCATGCATATAAAACATAAAGTAATAGAGAAGCCAGAAAAATGTTGTCCTCGTTGCTAAAGCCTAAAGTTCCATTTATAAATCCTCAAACCGTGCAGATAACACGAACGATTGGTATGATTAACCAAGATAAAAGCCGAATAAACAAAGAATTGAAAACTGCAGTAACTAATCTATAGCAGAATTCCACAAAACGTACAATCTAGGCAGGATATTTCCAGCATGCTGAACAAGTTCATATAGGTCAACCACCGGACAACCGTGTCGATCTTCGTCCTTGAAGAACACTTCCAGCCTCCTCAATTCATCAAACGCGCGCATATCTAACTCCCAAAGAACAAAAAAAAAAAAAATAGATTCAACGGAAATTTCACAAAATAAACTCAATTTCTTAAATAAAATTCAATACGTGTCAACCAATTACTAAGAAAAAAGAGGTTCCAAAAAGTTTACAGAGCTCGTAGTATTTGTGAGGCGAGAGTTTCGAAGTTCGCAGCTCAGATAACAATAGCGCCGCGTATTTGAGTGCTTCTCGGAGATTATCCGAATCCTGAATTTTCCCCAAAAAAAACATAAATTACATGGGAATAGTAATTCAGTTGCTTCGTTTTTTAAGAAGTTAGGGCTGTGATCTGTTTTTTTTTTTTCTAATTTTTTTTTTCGATTGGTGCGCGGAGTAATTGTGTAAGAGAAGAAAAATAGATCGGAAAATACCAATGCGCGATGCAAGTAGAAGGCGTTGTGTTGAATTCCGGCGATGCCTTCCGCCAGCCATTTATCCTCGTCTTCGATTCCGTTCGATATCATCGTCGTTTCCCTTCTCTCTCTCTCTCTCTCTCTCCTCTCTTTCTCTCTCTTGCCAACTCAACAGCGTTCAGTTCGAACAGCGAGGACCAGACGACCAGTCATGGTAATAAGCAACAATTGCTCTTTCCTTCATTTCATTTTAATTAATTAATTTTATCTCTTATTTTTCCGAGCATCTAAAGTTAAATTTTTTTTTAATATATATATATATATATATATATATATATATATATATGGGTAGTGTGAGTTGGTAAGTGTTTAGTGGTATTAGAAATAGATAGTGTCTTAGGTAAAAAGACAATATAGGTCTTAGATCATGTTCTTGATGGTTTGACAAGAAACAAAGAAAAAGGGTGGTTTAAACATGAAATACTCCTTAATTCATCAGAAAATAGCGCATGTATTTTGGTTAATTTTACATCGGCAGCCAAACAAGGCATTCACGTATTTCCCCGGAGGCATTCACGTATTTCCCCGGAATGTAGCCGATCGGGATTCTATAGACATTATCAAAGGCTACAAATAAAACATAATCATCAATAGGAATTCGTTTATAGAACATGAAATCGTACTTACAATCACAATTATATCAGACTACACTAACAAAACAGTATTGTATTCCTAATCCTTACTCCCTCAACCCAAGGACAAAAAAAAAACCTACAAAAATCCCTAGGCGGCGGCAGCAGCAAGCACCAAGATAGTAGCATCACTCTGCTCCATTAGTTCCTCTAAAAGGGAATAGTATAAGGCAACGCGTAAATATCGACTTCTTGCAAGTACTGTGCACGAGGAGGCCACATTATCGAGCTGCTCGAGCATGATTTGGCATCGTTTACAGATGTACTACAACATCTCTTCTCCGAAGAGATGCCTTCTTGATTCTTCTTGCCCTTAAACAGCCAATCCACATCGTCTGTATCTTCGGGCAATGCAAACTCCAACTGAGGTGGGGCCCACATCTCCGTTAGATTTTTATACCGTAATGCATTTCTCTGCACCCTAGAGAGATGTGGAGCTGGCGTTTTCTGCACAGGCTCAATTGGCTTTGGAATCGAACAAATATCTTTACCAGTCACTAATGCACTTCTCTGCATTGGAGTCGTAACCGAAGGTACTGGCATTTTCTGCACGGGAACATGCTCAATTTGCTGTGAACTTGAGCAAATCGGATCTCTACCAATCACAGGGATTTGAGCTTTTAATGTGCAAGATGATAAATCCTCAGTCCTTTGTCTGAAAACAACCTCATCTTTATTAAAGGAAGGAAAACTTGGCCTTCCGGAGGTAGAACACGTCTGCGTCTGTTGTTGTTCATTGACTGAAGCATCAATAGGAGACGGGTTCTGATTCTTGGAAGACAGTTTGATCCGGATAATTTTACCTGTTAAGTTCAAAGACAAACAAGAATCAGAAATCATGGGAAGAAGACATAGTTAAAAGACAAGCGAACAAGAAAAGAGATTCCAACACAATCTCACCAGGAGCACGTGCACAATCCAACGGAGAAGATTGCCTCTTCCTCTTGTTGCTATTCTCGGTGCTGTCTGCTGAAGTGCTGGGAAGCACCACAGGCTTACCACGCTCTTCGGTCAGACTGCTTCTCTCCAATTGGTCAGCTTCGGCTTTGCTGACCTTTTGGAGGAGAGACTGACCTTTTACATCAGCTGCTGCTGCCCGAGATTTTTTGTCAATGTGACCGTGGGCAACATTGAGGGACTTTTCGTGATTCTTTTCATTGTCCTTGTGAGTCGATTTTTGTTTCTTCTCTTTCTTTTTCTCTTTCTTCTCCCTTTTCCTGTCTTTCTTCCGTTCCTCGGATTTCACCTTATCCTTTTGGATCTTTAGAGGGACCAAAATAACAATTTTAGATTTTTTGATTCCAGACAAGAGTCAAATGCGATGTGGCCGGACGAACATTAACAGATACCTCAGGTACATGAAAAATCAAGAATCTAGAAGTCATGTGATCATCATGCATCGTGACAGAACACAGTGTGATCACAGTGACCTTATACTATCAAATCAAACCTCTTTAAATTAGAAAACATAAAAACCACCAGAATTTCTTTATTTTAAAAAATGTTTTTGGGAAAAATTTAGAAAAACGAAGGCCCTTTAAAGATTCATTTCAACAAAAGATGATTTTTTTAAAAACAAAAATTCAATCTCAGCAGCCACTTTCATCTACTCAGTAAGACACAAAACCACAAGAATAACTTCAATTCAAGTAAACACACACCACAATCACAAAAAATATACGAAAAACACCAAACACATTACAGCCTACGCGATTATTTGCCATACACCGATTTTTTTTCGACTGGGACCTGATAAAATCATCATGTACCAGTTCAGCACACTTAACTAAAAAAATCAACCGACACACATCTAAAATCCTCAGAATCACATTCTATCCAAGTGTTCTGAGTCCTATTAAACCTAACTGCATCACTTAAGAAACCAACCAACATAAACATGCTTCTCTCACCACTCCCACCTATAAATAACAGGTAGCTTTGGAACAGAGACTCATGCTTAAAGATACAGAAACCAACTATCGAGTTTTTTCGGATAACAATTCTGCACACCACTCGCATACCAAAACCCTCGGAATCTACTCTGAATCAATCCCACTATCTGTAAATTTGATCACTAGGCTTTACACTTTTCATGTTTTTCATTAAGCTTAACTTTCCAAAATAATTTTACCTACATAGCTAACCTGATATACCCTACTAACCCTGCAACTACACCCCTACACCAAAGACACATTCATAAACACATGATAATAGTAAACTATATTTGAAAATTGAATTTAGCTTTTAGGTTTTGAACTCGTTACAAATCGACCAACAAAACCCATATCGCATGCAACCCACTTATAACTGGGACTTCGTTAAAAATTTAACCCATTACAACACCACAAATCAGAAACCCTAATTTTGAAAACCCCCAAAAATTTTACAAATAAATTAAGAGAAATCCATATTAAAATAGAAACCCAGTAACTGGGCTCTGGGCCAACGTTTTTTAGTTCAAATTTGTACATGTATAGACACATTAAAACACCGATCACAATTTCATTAATTTACATCGATGAGGACTCATGCTCATGCATAAATCAATCAATCAATCAATCAGGGTGCTCTGCGCAACAAACCTTAATCGATTCGATCAAGGCCTCTTTCCCGTCGCCGCTCAGAGTATACCCAGGTGGCGGGTACGGAAAGCACCGAGACATATCTTCAAGATCGAATCGAAGATTTTTCCCGAAAACAAATTCAAAAAAATGCCCAGTAATTCGCTATGAACCCTTTACGATTGTGGGTTACAAATTTCCAGAAAAGAAATACGGTGGGGGGTGACGGATCTAGATGAAAGAGAATCTCAGATCTCTCTCGCGGCGGACTTAGGGTTAGGGTTTCAGCGACGAAGAGAGAGAAATTTTTCGATCTGGAATCGCTGAAGGAAAAATTAACAATGATTTAATGGGCTGTAGGGGGTATATATAGGCGAGGAGGTGACCGACCTTGACGCGGTTTATGTATTTACTCTTTGGTCCTTTATTTTATCTATATTTACGGTTTTCTCCTTGTTCTATTGGATTGGGATTCCGTGAGCGGTGAGTGGCGGCAAAATATGGAGCCAATTTTGGTATTTTTAATTTAGGATATGTTTCAACTAAAATATCATTGCTCTAAATCTAAATTCACTTATTCTATATTTCAAGTTTCTATAGATATTAATTATTAAATCAATATTTCTTTAGTTGATTTTTTTTTTTTTTTTAGAAAAAAAATATATAAGATGTGTAATCACTAATAAGTTAAGCTAAATAATAGATAAAGCTGAAAAGAAGACCTAATATTTGTAAATAAATTAAATAACTAATGATTGCTTCTTTCCAATCTAATTTTACAATACATTTTTAATTGTATCTTGATTTTTTTTAAATTATTGTTCGTGATTTAAAAAAATATTAAAAATAGATGTTTGTTAATTTGGGCTCATGTATGAAAGCTAAGCTAGCCGATTTGCATAATGGTATGGGCTCGGCCTCATTTTATGCTGGTTATTTTGAATGTTTTAACAAGTTGATTTTTTTTTTTTTTACAATATCAACATTAGTACGTGCAGAGTGTATTTGATCCATTTTGAAAACGTTTTTCCCGTTGTTAGTCACTTCACAGCTATTGTGGAAGAAAAAACCTCAACCTACTTAGACGCAATCGTTTTGTCAAAAAAGGAGAGCCGAACTGACACTGGAGTTGGCACTTCGACGGTCAACTGGCCAACTTATGAATGTCGCAAAAAACTTGCATGTTTCGGGGAAGGGGAAGCTCACATTTATAATACTTTAGTTCAAGCCCGACCAGTTCGTGAAAATCGAGGCAAGTGTATACCTACCGCCACCCCCTTCGTCCCATTTTTGCCTTCTCCGGGTAATCCCAACCATTATTGGCATCTAATCAATCATTGCTTGCCGCCTCGTATGATTCCTAGACAGGTAGCATTTTTCGCACGTTTCCGTGGGCTCTCCTAGCTCTTTTCCGATTGTCACCAATCATTCGGGCAATACATGCTGGTGTCAATGCATTTATTGCGCCAATGTGTGCGAGAGCTAGCGAGAGTCATTTAATGCACTCTTCCATACTCGTCGGGTCATAAATGCCTTCGGACAGAGCCATCGTGGTGTTTCCCAAAGAACCATATATGGTATACCCGCTCGGTCCTCGGCTACTCCTCTCTTTCGCTTGGTCACACCAACGAGGAGGAATCTTTGGTTTCGGGCCGCACGACTTAGTGGGCCTTGTCTCTTGGGCTGCATTCCAGCCCGGATCAACATTGATTTAAAAAAGGAATTTGAAATTAATTCAATAAGATATTTATATGTATAAAATATAATATTTTTCTTCTTAAAATAAGTTATTCGATTGATGCTGAATCTAATTTTATTTCCTTGTTAAGCCGAATCCAACCGGTTTTCAGCCGACTCGGTTCTCGCACGGCGGCGCAAACACTAATCAACGGCCAAACAATTTCCTGCTCGTCGTGGACAAATTCTAAAACCCTCGCGCAAACCACACGATCAAACAACACCGCCACAACGTGCTAAGCAATCTCAGTTTTCCAGGAATTTTCACCCAGCAATTTCTCTCTGAGATCGGCCTGTAATGAGGAGGATCAACGGACTCGCCGCCATATGTCGCGCCGTAGAAGGAGTCGCCGCTGCTCCTTCAGTTGCCGGAAACCTCGTCCGCCACCATCGCCTCGTTCAGGCGGCTCTTTCCACCACCACCAACAACGGCTCATTGTCTAGATCTAATTGGCTCTCGTGTAACAGGACGGCCGCCGGTCAGTCTACTAGCGCTGCCGCGCACGCCGTTGGGGGGGTGATTTTGTTTTCGGTTGCAGCTAGTGCCATCGGGGTAGAGGCCCACGCCAAGGAGCCCGTGCAGTCGGAGTTCCGACCGAAAGATGTCGTTCTCTACCAGTATGAAGCTTGCCCTTTCTGTAACAAGGTCAAAGGTATTGCATCTGCTTCTCAATCTATGTTGTTTAGTGATTTAAAATTGCAGTGTCATTACCAATTTGCAAGCTGTTATTTGCTTCATACTCAAATCATTTGAAGCTTTGCCCCCTTCTGTAACAAGGTCAAATGCATTGCTCCCCCTTCAGTATATTCTGATGATTAGAGGGTAGATAATGTGTATTTCTTTGTGACCTAGAATTGCACTGTGATGGTAGATTTTTTTCAATTTGCAAATTGTTAATTGGTGGATAGTCTCGGATTACAGATATGTCATACGATAATCCTTTAATATAAATTTGATTTTCCATAATACGGTGCTACATCAGGAAATAGTGCGTAAATCAACTATGCATTGATCTATATGTTTTTAATTACTTTTGGTAATGGATATTTGATATTTCCCTTTTCAAACCAAACCTGCGAGATTATTACATTTTGGTAGTTAAAACTTTGGGAATTTGTATCAGAAAAACTGCCAATCTGTATGAATGACAGAATGAGTCTTAGGCAAATTCACCTCTGAGCATTCAAATGCAACAATATACATGATTTTGAAAAATAATACTTGGTGAAACTTAGATGTAATCTTCAGCCACAAAAATGGTGAGCCTGGTATTTATTTCTTTTACTGAATTTATTTTTCAAACATAAGAAGCGTGATAAATAAGATCTGCTCTGGCCGTTCCCGGTTTTTTTTTTGTATAGCAAGAATTTGTTTTAAATTCTCACCCCAGCTCACTTAGTTTAGTTGCTGTACAATTCAAATCATTGGAAACGTTTTGACATAATCCGTGCTCTCCTCTAATGAACAAATATGTCAAAGCATATACTGTAATCAAGAGCTGAACCCTCTGTTATCTAGAGCACCTGTTAATCCACGTGGACTGCATGAATGATCCAATCAAAATGTGTTTTGACAAACAAAGACCAAATACGATACCTATCTATGCTGAATGATTTTGGATAACTCACAGATGCTATTTGCGTATGTTCTTTGAGTGTTTGAAATGAAATATGTTGTAATTGAGAATACCTTTGCCGAAGCTCACTAGTTGGGAGGAATAGCTGTTTCAAGTTATCTTCTATGCAAATGGCCATTTGTGTGCGGATCATTTATGGGATTAGTTAGAACTGCGTCAAGTTTTTTTAGTACTTCTTTGTATTTATGGATCTTACTTTTCCAGCTTTTCTGGACTACTATGACATCCCATACAAGGTTGTGGAGGTCAACCCCCTCAGCAAAAAGGAAATTAAGTGGTCTGATTACAAGAAAGTGCCAATATTGATGGTTGATGGGGAGCAGATGGTTGATTCATCAGGTATTTACCATTTCAGAATGACTAAACTTTTGCTTATATAATCTGAAAAAAGTAGTTAAATCAAGTTTACTTTGGGCTGTCGATCAACTTTACAACTCTTTTCGTGGCTTGCTTATGTAGATATAATTGATAAATTGGCAAAAAAGATTCACCCTGATAGAGCTGTTGGTTCTGTTGCGGATAACGAAGAGAAGAAATGGCGTGGGTATGGATTTAAGCTCATTGTGTTAGATCTTTGACTTATTTGTGAATTTTATGCAATCCTTTCTCCACATTACTTGATTGTTTTTATATTGCGAAGAATAATGGGTCTCTTTTGCCTTTCGCATATTTTTAAGTATTATTTCTCAGTATGGTGTACCTATTAACTCAGTGGTTACTCTTGATCAACAATATCTTTTTACTTTACTATTCAGAAACTATTTATAATATTTCATTGGTGTCTGATATTTCCGAATGCTATTATTGCAGCTGGGTGGACAATCACTTGGTGCATATGCTATCACCTAATATATATCGAAATACTTCTGAAGCCCTTGAATCATTTGATTACATCACTAGCCACGGTAAGATTTATCAAAACTATAAGAGAAGTTACTATTTTCTATTTGCACAATGCACCTTATTTGTGCATTACTTCAGAATGAAGATAAAATTGCCGATCACTGCACTGTGCACCTACACAAACTCATGCACTCCCGCCATAAGCAGACGTCCTAGTATGTAAACGATGATAATGGGATAATAAAAGAGAAATTTGTTCATTGGTTGCTCTATTCATTTTACATATATGGTAAAAGTGGTGATTGTTCTTGAATTTTAATACTATTGTTGAGGTTTTCTGTAACTAGAGGTATAGTTGCGTATTATTGCCTAGCTAATTTACACGAGTATGTACTCAATACATGTCCAGTTTACGCCGGTAACTAGTCAGTCTCTATTAATCCACCTCTCCCAGTCTCGAAGTGTACGCTGTTTCTCGTTCAGTTTTGTAGGTGCAAGTGTTTATGCCTTGAATTTGTTAGTTTGTGTATCCATTTTGCAATGATACTATATCGGGCAACTCTTTTGAGAAAAAAATAAATCAATCTACTCATCAAGAATATTAGGATATACAGCCAATAAAATATGAATATCGCATTCTTTATCTTCTTTCTTTGAATTTACGTTAACTTATATGGGGCATATTCTATTTGACTGGTTATTTCATGAAAATCGGAACTCTCTAAGCAATGTATTCATTATATGCGAAGGTGAACTAAGCAAGAATATTTACTGCCTCGAGATTTTTTTATACCTGTCTGGCATCAATTTGCTTTCCATATCCTTCTTGCAGGTAACTTCAGCTTTGCTGAGAGAATAGCAGCAAAATACGCTGGAGCAGCCGCCATGTATTTTGTCTCAAAAAAATTGAAGAAAAAATATAACATCACTGACGAAAGAGCTTCTTTATATGAAGCTGCAGAAACATGGGTGGATGCGCTCGACGGTCGAGATTTTCTAGGTTTGTACTAAATTTGTTATTTAAAAAAACAGATTCATGTCAAATGAGGGCTAATCCAATCCACATGTCCCAACATTCTTTCGCCAGGTGGAACCAAACCTAACTTAGCTGACCTGGCGGTTTACGGTGTATTGAGACCAATCCGCTACCTAAAATCTGGTAGAGACATGGTAGAGCAAACACGAATTGGTGATTGGTACGCTCGAATGGAAGCTGCTGCCGGACCATCTTCAAGAATCCAGGCATAGTCAACTAATCGCCGTCTAATTATTGACATTAAATCGCTGGTTCGTTTTTTTATTAGACAATTTTTTTTCCATATAAGCATTGTATTTTGCTTATAGAAAAAGGTGTCTCAATTCTTTGGAAAACCAATTTTTTTGCTTATAGAGAAGCACATTTGCTGGCAATGGGATTTTGTTACTTTGATTATTACAAAGCATATTTTGCTTTATTCTCTTGTATCCCACTTTGGTAATAATTTCTGGGATATGATGATATTCAAACATGACTGATTTTCTTCATGCATATATGTAGTATGGTTTGCAATAATTGAACTATATCCACAAACTTTACCATATTAATGATAGTAAAGTTTTATTTATTTATTTATTATTATTTTAATGGTTTTTTTTATTTATTTGTTAGGAAATTATCCATAAATGCAATCTCATGCTCTTTGCTTCTTTCCAGTTTACCTCTTTTCTACACACGATGTATGTGCACTGAAAGGACCTGTCACAAAATCTGCATGTGTACGTTTCCACCCTAAATCTTCATTACCTTTTTTTCCTTAATTTTTTGAGTAAATTACAGCCACACCCCTTAGGTAACATCAAATTACCAACCCTTAATTACAATCATGCCACTCTACTATGAATCTTCTTGCACATCCACCATTACGGTGTCAAATTTAGTGGAATCTTCTTCATTTTGTACTGTTTTACCCTATTCGAGCTCCACATTTTGAAGTAAGATGATCGTAAGAAGTGTTTCTTGACTTGTAAATATCGGATTATAGTGCATCAAAAACTGCATTTTCGCACAAAATGTGTCAAACTAGAGAACATTCAACGGAATCTAAAAGATTCTATTGAATTTCATACCATGAGAATGGAATGGACGCATAAGACGATTCACAGCTGATGAGTAGTTGTAATTATCCAAACATTAATTTCATTGTGCACCTAATCTTTAGGTGGAATATTCCTTTATTTATTTATTGATTTTGTTTTTTAATCAAATCTATATTACTTGTATTATCCCTTAGAATGCACATTATATAAAAAATGAACCATTTATTTGTACATACAACGAATATTAAACAATTTTAGGAGATTGGCAAAACAAGTGAGAGAATCCCAATAAAGCATAATTAATATCTTCTCTTAATTAATTCCCAATTTTATTGCACTTAATTACGTTATGGATAATTCAACCTACACAAGTGACACATCTTTTTCACCTTCTGGTAATTTTTATCAGAATATATAAATGAAAGTTGGCACTTTAATTAACCCTGCAAAAAAGGTCCCTTTCTTCTCAAATCCAAACCAAAGTAATTAATCAAAACCCCCATTTTAGAGAGAGAAAGAGGAGAGAGAGAAAGAGATTTTGTATGTATATATATGTACATGTGTCATGCGTCTACTCTGATGTAACAAGAACATGAATTTTATATAGCTTTTTAACCTACTCAGGCTACCCCTCCTTCTTTTGTTTCCATGTGTATCCACCATTTTTAGCACCTTCTCTCTCTCTCTCTCTCTCTCTCCCCATTTCTCTCTCTCTCTTCAGTTTTTTTTGCAGATAAAACTAACATATGAGAATATGGGTTTTACTACAGCTCCATACGGCGCCGTTTTAGGGATTGAAGATGCTGTTGGCTTAATACACACTCACGATCACTTATTACCCTCTTCTTCTTCTTCTAATTCTTCTTCTTCTCTGCCTGTTGAGCTTTTGCAGTCTCTCTCTTCTGATCTTCACAAACAAACCCTTGAAATGGATTGCTTTCTTCAGCTCCAGGTATTTTAAATCAAAAATCTTAACTTTTTTGAATTTTTTTTTTGCATGTTGGATTCTTTTTTTCTTTTTTTTTTTTCAAGATTTGCAAAACTTGCATGTGGGTTTATCATTTATCTCACATTTTCTTGAAAAAATCAATTTTTTTTTTCAAGATTTGCAGAACAAGCTGATTCTTGCATGTGGGCCTTTATCATTTATCCAACATTTTCTTGAAAAAAAAAATGGGATTTTTTTATTTTTTTTTATAGTTTTGATTCTGTTGGAGATATTAGTGATTTGTTGTACTGATTTAAAAAAAAAACAGAGCAAGAGATTGAGGAGGTCAATCCAGCAGGAAGAAGCACGGCGGCAAGCGTACATAATGCAGGAATGCGAGTCCAAACTCACAGCCCTGATGCTGCAGAAAGAAGAACAATCCGCCGCCGCGAGAAGCAGAACCAGGGAGCTCACCGAAACCCTAAAAATGGCGGAGATGGAAGCCAGGGCCTGGCAGAAGATCGCCGCCGAGAAAGAAGCCGTCGCCACCGATCTCAACAACAGGCTGATGAACATGGAATACGATGCCATGTCGTTCTGCGGCTCCTCCTCCCCCTCGCCGCCGCCCGCCGCCGGAAAGATGGAGTGTAGATTGTGCGGAGGTGGAAGAGTGTGCTGCGTTGTGTTCTTCCCTTGCAGGCATCTATGCTGCTGTAAACAATGTGAACCACTTTTGGGGCACTGTCCTTTTTGCTGTACAGTCAAAGAAGCTAGTTTGGAGGTTTTCTTGGTTTAGAATATCATCTTCTTCTTTTTTTTATTTGACTGTGTGTGTGTGTGTGTGTGTTTAGGTATTAGGTTGAATCGGTACGTTCGGAAAAAAAAATAGGAATTTTTGGAAACTTGTAACGAACAGAATCGGATTTTTTCTGTTTGGATATGAAACGGTGAAGTTCGGTGAAATTCCGATAGTGTAAGTGTAGTTTTCGAAAATGAATTTGAAGTAAGTATCGGAATTTCAAATCGGAAAGAAAATTGTAATCTAGTATGTATTCCAATTTCGTTCATTTTGTTTTCGTTGGAATTTGATCAAGAGAATCATAATCTATATGTAGTCGATTTCGCTAAAAAACACAAAAAAATTGGAAATCGGAACTTTTGGAATACGGAGTGCAAAATATTGTTAACATCGGAATTCAGATTTAACGGTAAAAAATGGAGTTTTCAAAGTATATTCAACAAATAAAATCGGATCGAAAATTGAAATTTGATGCAACTAACTCCATTGAAAAAAAATCGAAAATCGGGACGTTCGAAATTCGGAATATAAAACATTATTAAAAAAATTGATTTTTTTTAATAGAATGGAATTAATTGTGAAATAAACAGTAAAATATTTAATTTAGGCATGATGGAGGGTGAAATGAACAGAGAAAAGAATCTGTTGCTTTTGCCTTTTTACTGAAAGAGGGTTTATTAAATGTTTGCCTGATATAGATATTGCAGCCCCAGTTTGATTTGATTTTTCAAAGCCAAATTAAATTTAAAAAAAAAATTAAAAAAAATATATATATTTTGGCAGTTTTTTGGAACTGACAGTAAAAGATTTTGAGAGCAGAATTATTTAATGAGTTGGAAATGAAATGAAACGGCCACCTACTGAGTTGTGCACCAGCTACTCTCTGCCTCTGCTCTTTTTCCACAGTGTACTTTGTATCTATCTATATATATATATATATATATATATATACATAAATTTATAATTTCGATTAAATAATAGTTTCTTTTCATTCCGAGTCAATGAAAATGCATTAAATTGTTAACTCGATATTTTAATAATTCACTAAATTAATAAAATATTTCTAATCTCCACTATATTAATTTATAACTATATTAATTTATAGGCCCAAGTCCAAAAGGCTAATGAAGCTTTGTAATTATCTAATAATTGTATTTATTTAATTTAAAAAATATATTTTTGGTTTTTTTTAAAATTAAAATAAAAGGGTAAATTACAACCACCCTTGAGGTATGGTAAAATTATGAAATTCCCCTCTTATTTGAATAATTACAACCACCCTTCAACTCCTCAAATTTAGTGGAATTTTCGAGATTATATAGAATATTATCACTTTTGTACCTGTTTTATCCCATTCGAACTCCACATTTTGAAGCAAGATGATCATAATATGTATTTTTTGGCTTGTATATATCAGATTGTAGTGCATCAAAAACTGTATTTTTACACAAAACGAGTACAAACTAGAGCATCCACGAAATCTAGATGATTATGTTTAATTTGACACTACAAAGGTGGAGATGTAAGCAAAAATCATAGTTGAGGGATAAATGTAATTATCCAAACAAGAGGGGTTTATTCGTAAATTAACCATACTTCAGGGTGGGTGTAAGTTACCCTAAAATCAATTATGTTGACCTTGTCAGTGTTTGGAGAAAACTGAAAAGCGTGTTTTACATTATAAGCGCTTCTTCTTCTTACCTGCTCCCCTTCTTCGATTGCTCTGATATTTAAGTTTTTCAACAGGCGAGTCTCTCTCTCTCTCTTCTCTTTCTCTCTCTAAAATCATATCAAATCAACCGGAATATTCCTTTTTTCTCAGTCGTCGAGAACGATGCACAACGCCGACTACACCCAACCCCCCTCCTACTACCAGCAGCAGCACTACCCGCAATCACATAACCACAATCCAAACCCTAATCAGAATCAGAATCCGATCGACTCCCCTTACCCCACGCCACCACCGTCTTACGCATCCGCGCCGCCGTTCTCCCCCAACAGTTACGTCCATCCTCCGCCCCCCTCCGCCGATCACTCCGCCGCGTACCACCACCAGAATTCCTCTTTCTACCCTTCTTACCCCCAAACTCCCGATCCTCTCCCCGCGGCGGCGCCGCCGTCGTATTCACAGCCTCAATCGTCGTATGCCTTCCCCCAATTCGAGTCCCATGGCTCCTATCAACCCCCGCCCCCGCCCCAACCTCAAGTACAAGCCCAATTACCATCATACCATCCGTCTTACGATCAGCCGGCGCCGCCCAGTTACACCCCAACACCCAATCCTAATCCCGTTTCCCCCAATTCACGTTACCCGTCGATTCACTCCTCAGCTCAATACTCTCAATTGAATACCCCTCTGTACGAAACCTCGTACGATAATCACGACGCGAATTTAAGCCGTAGCAGGTCAGATTTGGGCTCAGAATTGTATGGCAAACGAGCAGAGAGTGGGTACGCTGGGTACGGGAATAGAAATGATAACCTCTATGGGGGTAACGAAGGGGTTATTCCTTACAAGGGGAGTAGTGAGCCGTATGGAGCTCGAGGAACGGCTGCAAAGTCTTCAACTTGGTCTGGGTTCGATGATTTTGGCAGGCCCATTGGGTATTCTTCCTCTTCTTCTACGGGGAAAGATAGAACATCGAATTCTGGTTTGAAGGTTGTGAAGGCAGTTCCGAAAGCAGATACACAGCAGGATTCGAAGGGCGGGGTTCAGAAGTATAGGGTGAAGTTGTTGGCAGAAAGTGGTGGACAGAGCACCATGGACGTCCTTTGCCAGGTTTGTTGCGAGGACTGGCCTGGAAATCTATTGTCGTGTGCATGTGGATTATATATTTTTTTTCTTGCTTAAGTTTACTGTCCTTTTGTGCATAGAGTATAGCTTGTTGTGGAGCTCAGGCTTGGAACATTTTGAGTAGCTATATTTTGTGTTGAGATGCATTGTAGTCGGGCAGTTGTGCTGAAATCTAAATGTTATATGGACTAATTTTTTGCTTGCTTAAATTTATCGATCTTTTGTGCATATAGTATAGCTTGTTGTTGAGTTTAGACTTGGAATGTTTTGAGCGCTATATTTTGCATGGAGATGATCTAAGAGGCACTGTGTTATTTTGTTTTGTAGAAGTTTATTGCGCTTGTGAAGTTTCATGTTTTTGTCCTGTGCTATTTTAGGGTCTATGTTATCATAATGAATCTTTACTTGTCACCCTTGCTTTTCTTTGTTGAATGTGGTTGTTTAAAATGGAATTGTATACTGCAAACAGCTAACCATACTACATTATGTTATTATCTCCCCTCTTTCAGATTGGCTTAGATGGAATTCGTATGCTGGACCCAAGTACCAGCCGGATATTGAGAATTTATCTTCTAGACACAGTAACCAGATGTGAAGTACGTCTTTCTTCCTCTTACTCAACAAGGGTGTTCTGTTTGGGGATAAATGATTTTTTTTCTTCTTTGCTCAATAATGTATGCTTCTAATATGATATTACAGGGCATATAATTTATTACTACCACTATAACCAACAGGCCCCTTCTTTTAAGAATATTAAATTTAGCATGCGGTATAATCGATTTTCTTTCAATAATGTTTATCCTGATCTGATCTCTGATGATGTAAAAAACATACATAAAACAGTTATGTTATCTGGAAGATATATGAATAGATTTAAGAGACTATGACTATGGTTTGGTTAAATGAAGATTTTTTTTTGTAATTTTGTTTCTTGCCTCATAATGTGGCCTTAGAACACACGCTTATACATATGGATTGAGCCCAGAACCTCCCACCACAAGAATGGGAGTGATACCACTCAACCATAAGGTTGTTGGTGGGTTAGTTAAGAAGTTTATCGGACTGGATTGTCCATATTGAACCACAGTTATTCAATTCTCACTGCTAAGATGAGTTGATACTTTTTGCTAGATAATATGTATTGTTCTCTATCTTTTGTGAAGTTTTTATTGGCTCGACTTGTGCACATTTATTTTCTGTTTTTGTTGGAGCCTACTCATTGAATTACCTTTTTACCCTTGCTTAGGCTATCGAGTCATCGACATTTGCTTTCTGGTCAAAAAGTTCTGTGGACATTGAGCCAAGGCGTATTAGATTGCAGTCTAATAGTTATACCACCAACACCATCTTGGACACAGTTACTGCTGCAATGATACAGGTTTGAAGTTGTTTATACTTTATCTTATGGAAATGGTTTTTTGTTTTTAATTGATCCATTGGTAATTTTGCACTTCTGAATCACCACAAATTTATCTAATTCTGTACTTACTGTTTGCTCTTCCATATACACATGATAATACCGACCCATGCACATACAAAAATATTTTAATAAGTAGAACATTTGGGATGAAATTGCTTTAATGATATGATTGGCACCTTTTGGAACTGCAGTATAAGGAGATGAATGGAGCAAGCCGTCCTTCTGAATATCCTAAGATTGCTGAACAACCTACCGAGAAGAGGAAAGGTTTTGATTTGCTGAATTTGATAAAGCCTCTTAACGAGGAGAAAGATCACTGGGTAAAGTGTTTTCCTTTTTTAGTCAACTGAAGTATGTGACACTGATGCTCTCTTATGACTGTGATTTTTTCTGCTGCTTCTTATGCTGTATATATTTTGTATTTGTTCTTGAAGTGAACTTTGTTTTAGAATCTTTGTGATGGTCTGTCTGAGAGTTGAAACTCAAGTTACTATCATTATTTGTTCAACCTGAACAGGTACCTGATGAAGCAGCAACAAAATGCACAGCTTGTGGGACAGACTTCAATGCTTTCGTGCGGAAGGCAAGTTGAAGATAATTTGAATTTTGTCATTTTATTTTCTTTCTTACTCAGCTTGGAATGTATTCACTTGCTATGCCGTCCGTTGCGTGTGTGTACATGTATACATATAGGTACATATGTAAGTTGCACGTATTTAATCATTATACTGGCTCTGTTTTTTCAGCATCACTGCAGGAACTGTGGAGATATTTTTTGTGACAAGTGCACTCATGGTAGAACTGCTCTTACTGCTGATGATAATGCTCCTGTTGTTAGAGTTTGTGATCGATGCTTGGTAAGCATCGACTCTAATTCTTTTCCTTTTTTGGTTTTTCTTCGATTCTTTTGGTTTTTCGATAGATGGTCTGCAGATATATCGTCATGAACTCATTTATCGAGAATTTTGTTGGTTTATAGGCTGAAGTTACTCGTAGATTGAGCAATGCTAGAGAAGTTCCCAGCAGATCAACGGTTGTTCAAAGTCATGAGGATCTTGCCAAGAAACTTCAGGTGACATAACTATATCTGTCTTTTATGGTGCTGGTTTCTTTTATATCCCTTTTTTATTTATGATTACATGGAGCATATGAAAGATTCACTCTTCCTGGTCAAGAAAATTCCTTAGGTTTTCCTTTTCGTACCCTATACTTTTGTTGATTTAGTTGTTTAATCATGTTGATTAATGTAACTGGTGTTTAAAATTTAGTTTGCAGTGAGTTTTTCTACGTAGTTCGTTTCCCACTTTTCGTGGCTCTGTGTTGTATCATTCTCAGCGTGGATTTTTTATTATTATTTCAGGAGGAGATGGAGAGAAGCTGCAAGGTGTCGTCAGGTAAATTCAGTGCTGAAGTACATAAAACTGGTTGTGCTTTCAAATCGTTCTTCGTTTTAAGAATCAATATAGTTTATGGAGTTTTGACCAAATTGGTTCTCATTAACGATATTCGGGTCTTAAATCTTAATGAAAATTTGTTCTGATTGTTTCTGCTAGCTGGCTCATAGACAATATAATCAGAATTTGCCCTTCCAATTGTAACGCTAGTTTATCTTTTTCCAGGCTCCAGATCAGAAGGTTCTGGAAAGAGAATGAAAGAGGTCGCATGCCCAACTTGTACAGTCCATTTACAGGTTCAAAAATCGATCTTCACTTGTTTTGAATTTTATATTTATATGATTACTTTGTTTCACTCTACATAATTTTCGTTCTGCTATTATTCATCACAATTTTATATAATGTATAGGTTCAAGTTCCCAGTTCTGGTTCAGAGACTATCGAGTGTGGAGTTTGCCAACATCCTTTTCTTGTTACTAGCCATTGAATAACGACACCAGAATCAAATATCGACTTCTTCTTTCTATGATATTCTCGGTGTACTTTATCAAATAAGCTTTTCACTTGGAACTCGGGCTTTAATTTGATTCTTTTTTTTTTTGGTTTATTTCTTATTTTATTAACGCTGGTTTGCTTTACTTACGTGTACATCCAGAATTATCAAGTTGACCCTCTAAAATGTAAATTAAGTCGATTGATGTTTGATTATTCGTTGTGGATTTGTATGTATAGTATGTTACTGTATTTGATCGTTTTATTTGGACAAGAAATCGGGAAGCAGTGAGTGATTCTTGTTGGCTTATACATTGTGATTCGAGGAACAGTTTAAATTCAATCTGCAATTTGATTTCGGATAACCCGCAGAAACATTTCAAATTTGTCAGTGAATTTTGCCCTTTTCGGTTCTATTTATGGTTTTTTTGCTAATTTTTATTTAGACAATTCATTATTGCACAAGGGTACTAATGCAGTTAGCTCAATACTAGAATTATTTTGAAATAGTTTTCATCTGAGAAGGCCTACAAGATTCTTGTGGATCCGATACTCGAAAAGTATGTCAACAATTTCCGTGTAAGTATCGATGAACTATATAATAATTGAGTTACGTCTTCAGTTATATCTTCTGATTAACTTTTTGTATCTCGATTAATGTCGAACGAGAAAAACGGATGCTACTTGCCAGCCAGTCAGTGTTTCTTGAATTAAAAAAACTAACAAACATATAAATTAGCATGTGTAAGTATTCTTGCACATGGTTTTCATTCCCCACGGAAGATTAGTGCAGAAAAACTCTTTGCATTTAATATTTACAGTTGTTAGTTGAAAATTTTAGGTAAATGTTTCAATATATCACCCATACTCATTATCTTTGAATTAACAACTGCTGCATCAAATCTAACAAAGACCTAATAATCACATGGAATATATATATATATATATATATATATATATATATTACAACTCAAAGAAACAGAAAACAGACATCATTTGTACATGCCATGATGAAATAAATATCCACTGTAAGAAACAATAAAAAGGGTCAACTGCTGAATGTTAATTCAATCCAAGATATTGTTATATAATTGGCCAAGAAACCTTAGTACTATTATCACTACCGAAAATGGCAATGCATTTCTTGAGATTGAAACTAGTGGTTTTATCTTTCTTAGTACGTTTTTACGTTCTTGAAGCAGCTATAAAGCTGCCAAAAAACATCTCGATACCAGCTGTGATTGTGTTTGGAGATTCAGTCGTAGATACTGGTAACAACAATAATATCGAAACAATCGTGAAAGTGAATTTTCCACCGTATGGTAAAGATTTTATGGGAGGAAAGCCGACTGGAAGATTTTCGGACGGAAAAGTTCCTTCAGACCTTATCGGTATCACAATCTTTTTTTTTTTTTTTTTTTTTTTGTGTCTGAATAAAATTAATAATGCTGTCTTTTTTTTTTTTCTTTACCTTCTCAGCTGAAGAATTGGGAATTAAAGAACTTTTGCCGGCATATTTCGATCCAGCATTACAAGCCGAAGATCTCTTAACAGGAGTTAACTTTGCTTCTGGTGGTGCTGGCTTTGATCCTATCACCTCCAATCTTGCGGTACATTTTCTTGCTTCAACTATGTATATATATATATATATATATATATATATATATATATATAAATCGCGCATTTTTTTGGGTACAAATTTGTCGAAAATATAATTTAAAATAACGTCGTTAGAAAACTTGTGTTAATGCAGTCAGTACTGTCCTTATCAGACCAGTTAGAGATGTTCAAAGACTACATAAAAAAACTCGAAGCAATAATCGGACACGAAAAAACATCGAAAATATTGAGCGAGAGTTTATATATATTAGTCGCTGGAAGCAACGACATCATCAATACATATTTCGGAACCCCCTTTCGTAAATCTACATACGACGTTTCTTCTTACAACGATTTACTTGTCGGATACGCCTCAACCTTCGTGCAGGTACAAAAAAATCATTTTTTCTTCGTAAGTATAAAAATCGTAAATATGCTATTTTAATTTTTATCAAACTTTTTTTTTTGGTAGGAATTATATGGATTAGGGGCTCGACGAATTGGCGTATTCGGTTTACCGCCACTCGGATGTTTGCCATCGCAGAGAACTTTAAAAGGAGGGGCTGAAAGGAAATGTATAGATATATATAATGAGGTGTCGCAAATTTTCAATAATAAGTTGTACGATGAAATCGAATCGATCAACGGTCGATATTCGATGGCGAGGGTGACTTACATGGATATATATACTCTCCCGCTCGATTTAATTCACAACCCTCATAAATACGGTATTTGCCGTCAATTCTTGAACTTAATCAACTAATCGAATTTTCATTTCAATAACTGAATTTTTAAAAACAAAATGATTTTTTTTTTTCGTGACAGGATTCGGGATTTCGAATATGGGCTGCTGTGGAACAGGTACAATCGAAGTGGCATTTCTTTGTAAATATACGTGTCCGGATGTATCGGAATACGTATTTTGGGACAGTTTTCATCTAACGGAGAAAGCGTACAGGATTCTCGTACACCAGATACTCAAGAAATCAATCAACACTTTCATCTGTGGGAAATCACTCTGCTGAAGATTATTTATTTATTCATAATACAATTTATATCTACATTCTTATACTATAGATTTTTTTTCTTTATAGAATGTCGAATTTTTCGATTTTCGTACGTGTGCATATTTTCTTCAATGCTTCTGCCAGAACAAATAACTTATCGCCAGAGCAGAACCGATGGAATTCGACGCTTTTACCCTCCCAAAATCCATGCGTCATCCAACGAATGCTTTACGAAAAACCGGCAAAATATAATATATATATATATATATATATATATATATATATATATATATATATATATATATGGTTGCAAAGCTGGCTCCTTATAAACATGCAATTAATTTGCTTCCATTTCTGGCATGCATTGCTATATATAAATCCACCAGAAAACATCATTATCGAAAATCAAGCTAGTAATTAATTAAACATATATTAGCAACGCTAACTTGAAAATCAAGTTATTACATACGTCGACATTTCCAGCTGTTTTCTTACATGCCCTCTTAATTTCACGAAAACGACACAAGTCAACGTTATAAATCTTGACCTCTCACCACAGGTACGTATTAAACGAACGAAATGAAGTTTTTGTGCAGTTCGTTTACCGTCTTTCTTTTAATATTATTTCTGTCTTGCAATCACGCAGGAGCAGTAGTGAACCGACCCGAAAACGCTACGTTTCCAGCAATAATAATTTTCGGAGATTCCCTATTCGATACTGGCAATAATAATTACATCAAGACAATTGCTAAAGCCAATTTCCCACCTTACGGCAATGATTTCATCGGAGGAATCCCCACCGGAAGATTTTCCGATGGAAAAATTCCGTCTGATCTTTTCGGTATTATAAATAAATATCTCTTTATATTATCATCCAATTAATTTTATTCATGTTTTTTACATTAATTCAAAATTGTTTATTATATATATACATATATTTAATTTTGATATACAGCTGAAGAACTGGGAATAAAGACTCTTTTGCCACCTTTTCTTGATCCATCTCTCCAAGATCAAGATCTATTAACCGGGGTCAGCTTTGCTTCCGCAAATACCGGATACGACCCTTTAACTGCTCGTCTTTCGGTATTTTTTTTTACGGTCCCACAATTTATTTGATTACATTATTATTATATATATTGTCTGAATTAATGATGTCTGAATAAATATTGCAGTCAGTCTTGTCCTTTTCGGACCAGTTGGAATTGTTCAAAGAGTACACATCGAAGCTGAAGAAAATCGCCGGAGACGAAAAATCATCGGACATTTTGAGGGAAAGTCTATTTCTGGTGGACGGTGGCAACGACTATACAATTACGTATTTCGGTACACCATTTCGAAAATTTCAATACGATGTTCCTTCGTACACCAACCTACTAGTAAGCTACGCTTCCACCTTCGTGCAGGTAAATTAATTAAACATTATTACAGCTTATCTACATCGTACGAATTTTTTTTCCCTCAAGAAATATATAATTTTTTTTTTAATTAATTATAAAAGGAGTTGTACCGTTTGGGGGCTCGAAGAATCGGTGTTTTCGGGTTGCCACCATCAGGATGTTTTCCGTTATTACGAACTTTGGAAGGAGGACTCGAACGAAATTGCTTCGGAAAATATAACGAAATCGCGCAATTATTCAATGGGAAATTGTCAGCTGAAATAGCCTCCCTCAACGAACGATTATCCGAAGCAAGAATCGTCTACATTGATATTTACACTCCTTTACTTGATATCATTCTCACCCCACAAAAATACGGTAATTACTACTCTTTCCGTTTTTTTTCGTTTTTTCGTTTTTTTCGCGAATAACGAATTTGACGTAACAAGATTCAAGATAGCGGACAGGGGATGTTGTGGAACCGGGATGGTAGAAGTATCGTTTCTTTGCAAAAACGCGTGTCCCGATGTAGAAGATTACGTGTTTTGGGACAGTGTTCATCAGACAGAAAAAGCATACAGGATTCTCGTACGTCGGATTCTCGACGAGTACGTCAATTACTTCACCTGATATACGATGCAACTCGATCGAAGACCGATTGTGTGTAATTGTGTGCATGTCATTTTAAATTAATGAAAAAAAAATTATATATTAGTAAATCTTGTTGTGTTCGAAACTAACTAATGTTAATTTTCAATAATACAGAAGTAGTTGCAATAAATACAAGGGAATAGTAACTCGATAATTAATCAAATTATATATAAACCCCCGTGTAATTCGTAAAAGTCAAAAATACCCCTGGAAAAAATTAAGTGACCAATAACCCCCTGTAATCGGTAGTCGAAGGCAAACAACCCCTCGCGCTCGTCCGTGTCATTCACGCGCTGTTTGTGCGACTATCTGTACATTTTTTTGTATGAAATGATAAAATTGCCTCTCTAAATCTCTCTCAGGGTTAATGTTTCAATATAAAGAAAAATTGTGAAAAAAATATATTAAATATAAATAAATTAATTAAAAACGAATAATAAATAAAGAAAAAGAGAAAAAAAGAAGAGGTCTTCCTCTCTTCTTTTCAATGGGAGAGAGGGCTTTATTGAAAATATCAGGGACTGAATTGAGAATTTCGATAACTTCATTTTGGGACAAACAAAAATCCTGGGGTGAATCTACAATTTTCAAAATTTATGATTTAAAGGGTATTGGTCCATTGGGTTTTTTCGTCTTTTAGCGAGCGGTCAACGGATGAAAATAAAGAGGGTCGAGTGTGCTTACTTGAACTGATTACCGGGGGGTTTTGCCATTTATTTTTTCTCGGGTTTTTTTGCCCTTTCCACATTACACGGTTTTTTTTTCTTTTCATTTTACTCATATATATATATATATATATATATATATATATATATATATATGAGTAATAAGAAGTGATATATATATATATATATATATATATATGATATATCACTTCAAGAGGGTGTTTGGCTAATCTTATAAGATATTAAAAAGAGTTTATAAGATGTTTTAGAGCTTATAAGCTCTTCCAAAGTGTTTGGTAAATTTTTAGAAAAAGATCTTAATTTTTTTTAAAATAAGCTGTTGGAGAGCAAATAAGATCTTTTTAAATAAGTACCTCTACCCCACCTTTTTATTTAAGATCTTTTAATGAGTAAAAATAGGAAATAAGCCCATTATCCAAACACTCTAAAAATTAATCCTAAAAATAAGATGTAACAGCTTATCAGACGTAAGAGCTTATCAGCTGTTTAAAATAAGCTTAGCCAAACACCCTCTAAGTTCAGCTGAATTGACATTACAAGAAAATGACATGAACGAATTGATATATCAACCGAATCATTCTATATTTATAAATCTTCATGTGATTGCTTAATTGGCAGATACATGCAATAGTAAAATGACGTTCTTACGTGCGAAATTACCATGTCGTCCTTCGTATTTCCGGTTCACTGTCTTCCTTGCATCATTGTTTCTGCCTTGCAGTATTGCTGGAGTAGCTGTCGTAAGTCTACCGAAAAATGCTACCCTTTTTTCGGCACTCGTATTTTTCGGAGACTCGATAGTCGATACTGGCAATAACAATTACATTAAGACAATTGCTATAAAGCCAACTTCCCACCTTATGGCAAGGATTTCATTGGAGTAATCCCCACCGGAAGATTTTCCGATGGAAAAATTCTATCCGATCTTTTCGGTACGTACCCTTTATTATTATTTCCGATTTTCTTTTGTCCAATTCGTGTTTTTAGTTGATCATCTCTCTCTCTCTCTCTCTCTCTCTCTCTCTCTCTCTCTCTCTCTCTCTCTCTCTCTCTCTCTCTCTCTCCATATATTATATATTGCAGCTGAAGAGCTGGGAATAAAGCCTGTTTTGCCACCTTTTCTTGATCCATCTCTCCAAGAACAAGATTTATTAACCGGCGTCAGCTTTACGTCTGCAAATATCGGATACGACCCTTAACTGCTCGTCTCGCGGTATTTTTCAGTCCCTTATTTATTTTATTACATTGTTACTATTATATATATAGTCTGAATTAATGATGTCTGAATAATGAATATTGCAGTGCGTCCTGTCCTTTTCGGACCAGTTCGAATTGTTCAAAGACTACATATCGAAGCTGAAGAAGATCGCCGGAGACGAAAAATCATCGGCCATTTTGAGGGAAAGTCTAATCGGAGTAATTGCAGGCAACAACGACATTGCTATTACGTACTTTAATACGCCTTTACGAAAATTCCAATACGGCGTTCCTTCGTACACCGACCTACTAGTCAGCTACGCTTCCACCTTCGTGCAGGTAACACATATTATTACAATTTTTATTAATAACAACACGTTAGGCGAAAAAAATACTAATTAATAATTATGTATGTATGATTTAAAAAGGATTTGTACCGCCTCGGGGTGCGTAATATCGGCGTATTTAGCTCGCTGCCACTTGGATGTATGCCATTGGAAAGAACTATTGGGGGAGGACTCGAAAGAAAATGCGCGGAACAATATAACGAAGCCGCGCAGTTATTCAATAATAAACTGTCGGCTGAAATAGCATCTCTCGACGCACAATTAACCGAAGCGAAAATAGTCTACGTTGATATTTACAATCCCATTCTCGACATCACTCTCAACCCACAAAAATACGGTACAACATCACCGATTTTTTATTTTTGATTTTTAAAAATGCTAATTTCATACTCGATTTTTTTTATATTACAAAATTTGATATATATATATATATATGGACAGGATTCAAGATAGCAGATAAGGGATGTTGTGGAATAACAGGGGCAGTAGAAGTATCGTTTCTTTGCAAATGCGCATGTTCGAATGTAGATGGACTACGTATATTGGGACAGCGTTCATCCGACAGAAAAGACGTACAAGATTCTCGTACGTCGGATTCTCGACGAGTATTTTAATTTCACTACTTAAAAAAAAATATTTTCAAATGAAACATGGTTTTCAATAATTAAATGTGATTGTAATAAATCCACTAATCAAAAACTGGCATCTTATAATTATGCAATTAATTGCTCCATAAATATCCTGATGTGAAATGCGGAATTCATCTCGATGTTTCGTAATAATATAAGTTTTCAATGTCGTAAATGCAAATGTAGTACGTAATATATCATCGGCGCCAATATATCCATCGAGACTCGAGAAGATTCTTCATCTGTGAAAACTCATATAAGTATGCCGATTTATTTTTGCTTCAACATCGAGCTGTCGAAATCATTGTTGTATACAAATGGATTGAAATCTAAGTAGAAAGAATACTATCCATAATTAGTAAATATTAACAAATTTATCGATATGGTGATAAACGACGCAGCTCGAATATTATATTACATGCTTGCGAAAAAGGAAATGCAATTAATTTCTCTGATTATTCAATAGTGATATAATTTATTAGCAACTTAACAATTAATTAAACATATATAAATCAAGCTGAATTGACATTTTCCAGCTGTTTTCTTACATGCAATTTTAATTTTAATTTCAAGAAAACGACATAAGTTAACGTTATTTCGATTTCTATATAAATCTTGATGCGGAAGGCATTTCCACAGAGATATACGTACGTGCAATTACTCGAACGAGATGAAGTTTTTGTGCAGCTTGTTTACCGTCTTTCTTCCAATATTATTTCTCTCTTGCAATATTACTCGAGCCGTAGTGAATCTACACAAAAACGCTACTTTTCCAGCGTTATTCATTTTCGGAGATTCCATATTCGATACCGGCAATAACAATTACATTAAGACAATCGCTAAAGCCAATTTCCCACCTTACGGCAAGGATTTCATCGGAGGAATCCCCACCGGAAGATTTTCCGATGGAAAAATTCCGTCCGATCTTTCCGGTATTATAAATAAATATCTCTTTATATTATCATCCAATTAATTTAATTCATTTTTTTACATCAATTCAATATTGTTTATTATATATATAAATATATTTAATTTTGATATGAAGCTGAAGAGCTGGGAATAAAGACTATTTTGCCGCCTTTTCTCGATCCATCTCTCCAAGATCAAGATCTATTAACCGGGGTTAGCTTTGCGTCTGCAAGTACCGGATACGACCCTTTAACTGCTCGTCTCTCGGTATTTTTTTTAACTCGATTATATTATTATTATTAAATATATTGTCTGAATTTAGGATGTCCGAATTTTAATTTTGCAGTCCGTCTTGTCCTTTTCGGACCAGTTAGAATTGTTCAAAGAGTACATATCGAAGCTGAATAAAATCGCCGGAGACGAAAAATCATCGGCCATTTTGCGGGAAAGTCTATTTCTGGTGGATGGTGGCAACAACGACTTTCTAATTACGTATTTCGGTACACTTTTAAGAAAATTTCAATACGATGTTCCTTCGTACATCGACCTACTAGTAAGCCACGCTTCCACCTTCGTGCAGGTAATAATAACATTAATGCACCTAATTCATATCATATACAGTATAAACTCGATAAATTAATAACCTCGCTTACATAATAGTTTCTTTCAGTCCCGACTTGTGAGAAAATGTTAAATTATTAACTCGATAATTGAATAATTCGCTAAATTAATAGAATTTCCTTAGTCCCGAAATTTATAGAGGTTCAACTGCATTTTATTTATTTTTGAATTTTTTTATTAATAATAATTATGAAGGAGTTGTACGGTTTGGGGGCGCGTAAAATTGGTGTGTTTGGGTTGCCACCAATAGGATGTGTTCCGGTATCAAGAACATTGAGAGGAGGACTCAAAAGAAAATGTGCGAAAGAATATAACGAAGCCGCGCAATTATTCAATAATAAGTTGTCAGCCGAAATAGCCTCACTCAAGAGTGCACAACTATCCGAAGCAATAATAGTCTATGCAGATATCTACAATCCTACTCTCGATATCATTCGCAACCCACAAAAATATGGTACCTATTTTATGTTTCGTACTTGATTTTTTATTTTATTTTTTATAATTATTATATAATCGTATTACGAGTACAGGATTTGAGATAGTAGACAAGGGATGTTGCGGGACAGGGACAGTGGAATTATCGTTTCTTTGCAAATACGCATGTTCCGACGTATCGGATTATGTATTTTGGGACAGTGTTCATCCGACGGAAAAAACATACAGGATTATCGTACATAGGATTTTCGAGGAGTACATTAGTTACTTCATCTGAGTATAAATTATTATTTGTCATTTAAGACATAATATATTAAGAGTGTGGTACTGATGGAATGAATAAAGTGATAGTGATAGCGATAGTGATTATAAGTACAATTTTATTTACATTTTATATAACAAAAAAAAAAGAAAAAAAAAACCGAATTCCGACTACTTTCGTACCATGCAATTTTCGAAGACCGATGTTATGTGTGCATTGTGTTGCTGTTTTTTTCCATTTTATCAGGACAAAAAAGAAACTTCTGTGGAACAAAGAAATATCTCTTAGAATAAAATAAAAATAATTCAATTTTAAATATTCATAAAAAAAATATTAACCTGAATTATAATCTTGTGAGTACCGAAACGGTGTCGTTTGCACCTTTCTTTAATTGCAATTTCTGCCCTTCTCCTGTGACTGTCACAAACACGGTGTCGTTTGCACCTCTCTTTAATTGCAATTTCAGCCCTTTCAGTGTCAACACGGTGTCGTATAGCGAGCCCTAATTCCCAATCTTTTCCTCCGCTTCTTCCCCAATTCCAACCGATTTGGATACATGACAAATAAATTATTTGATTTTAGGGTAAATTACAAACACCCCCCTGAGGTATGTCAAATTACAAAAACACCCCTCTTGTTTGGATAATTACAACACCCCCTCAACTCCTCAAATTTAGTGAAATCTTCGAGATTATATGGAATATTATCACTTTTGTACCCGTTTTATCTCATTCAAACTCTACATTATGAAGCAAGATGATCATAATATGTGATTTTTAGCTTGTATATATCAGTTTTTGGTGCATCTGAAACTGTATTTTTACACAAAATGAGTACAAACTAGAGCAAATTTCACGGAATCTAGATGATTATGTTGAATTTGGCACCATGAGGGTGAAGGTGTAAGAAAAAATCATAGTTTAGGGGTAGATGTAATTATCCAAACAAGAGGGGGTTTTTGTAATTTGACCATACCTCAGGGGTATTTGTAATTTACCCTTGATTTTAAATACACTCTGATTATAAAAAAGAAAAACTAAATTATTTGAAAAGCTTTCAGATTTTTTCAAACTAAATTCGTCACGTTCTATTGTTTCTTGACATTAGGTAGGTAACAGTTGCTCGCATTGAATTAAAATTTTCAAATTAAAATTAATAAAACAATATTTTAAAATTAAAAATAAAATCACATTAGGGCTGGATTAATTTCAGTTTGCATAATTAATTGCATTGCCCCATCCTATATATATATTGGCAACTAAATAAGCCCCATCTCTTATTTCACTATAGAACTTAGTCTTTTTATTTATTTACTTATTTATTATTTAATAATAATTTATAATTGATAGAGTCAGCTATACATACAATATAATGTAAATTGCAATTAAAATTAGCACTAATCAAAAGCTGGCATACTGCCATCACTACAACTTGCTCTCATTTTATAAACCATCATATGTATATAAATAAACACCAGACTTAATACAAATTCTTGTACCTCCTAATACATAATTAATATACAATTAAAAAAAAATGAAGCCTTTGTCTCTCTTGTTTACTGTCTTTTTTCCATTGTTACTCTCTTGCAATAACAACATTGCAAACGCCGTAATAAAACTACCCCGGAACGCTACGATTCCAGCAGTTGTCGTTTTTGGAGATTCGGTAGTCGACACCGGCATGAATAACTATATTATCACTATAGCTAAATGCAATTTCCCACCTTACGGCCAGGATTTCTTGGGCGGAAAGCCCACCGGACGATTTTCTAACGGAAAAGTTCCCGCAGATTTTCTTGGTATATATAAATTAATTAAACATGCACACTTTAATTATATTATACAATTTGTTTTTGTGAATATATTTATTTATCACATTTATATTTATTTTGCAGCTGAAGAATTGGGAATTAAGTCTTATTTGCCACCTTATCTTGATCCATCTCTCCAAGACGAAGATTTTTTACCGGGGTTAATTTTGCGTCCAGTGCTGCCGGATTCGACCCTTTAACCTCTGAAATCTCGGTACGTGTGTATATATATATATATATATATATATATATATATATATATATATATATATATATATATATATATATATTCGATTGCGTGATTAAATATTGTCTGAATTAATTAGTGACGTCTGAGATAATACATGCATACATGCTGCAGTCGGTGTTTTCGTTGACGGACCAGTTAGAGATGTTTAAAGAATACATTGCAAAGCTGAAGAAGATTGCCGGGGACGAACGAACATCCTACATTATCCGCGAAAGTTTGGTTGCAGTTGTTATCGGAAACAACGATTTTTTAATTAATTATTTTATGACCCCTTTACGAAGTCTCCAGTACGACGTCCCTTCGTACACTGACCTACTAATGAGCTACTTTTCCACCTTCTTGCAGGTAATAATTAATTAACAGTACAATTATATTACATCTAACGTTTAATTTGTTTCTTCAAGAAATATAAATTTTCATTTTTTCTTTAATTATTATTAAAACATCATTTTATTAATTGTGTACTATGTGATCGAATTGAAGGATCTGTACCAACTCGGAGCTCGTAGAATCGCGGTTTTTGGTTTGCCGCCATTAGGATGTCTCCCTTTAGAAAGAACTCTGAGGGGAGGACTCGGAAGAAACTGCTTCGAAGAATATAACGAAAACGCGCGATTTTTCAACAATAGATTGTCGGATGAAGTAGCCTCTCACAAATCACAATTCCCCGATGCAACGATTACTTTCGCAGACATCTACCCTGCTTTTCTTGACATCATTCAAACTCCACAAAAATACGGTAAAACCTCTATAAATCAATACAGTTTGTACTATCAAAACTTTACTAACTCAGCGAAATATCAAATTACCGAATTAGTGATTTAACATGTTTGTCGCCCAGTCAGGACCGGCATAAATTATTAATTTATCGAGGTTTTACTGTATGTGCGACAGGATTCAAGATAGCGGATAGGGGATGTTGTGGAACGGGGACAATAGAATTAGCAATTCTATGCACATTTGCATGCTCCAATGTAGAGGATTACGTGTTTTGGGACGGTGCTCACCCGACGGAAAAAGCGTACGGGATTATTGTGCGTCGGGTTCTAGATGAGTACATTAATAACTTCATATGTGGGAAGTCATCTTGCTGATTTATTATATATCGACGATCGATGGTCCGAACTCCGAATAGACGAGTGTTTGTCGTTTGTTAGTGAATCTTCGTTATGTAGAAGACATATAGTTATAAGTACTATGCTGATTATGATTTATGAATGAATAAGTTACAGTAGCTAGAAGTTATAATTAATATTTATTTACCCTTTATATATTTAATAAAAAGACGAAACTTCGTTTACTCTTTAATCTCTAATACATATATATGATGCAATTAAAAAGAAACCATTTGGATGAATAATCAAAAGGAATTTAATAAATATTTCAACAACAAATAAGGTAAAAAAAAATGTAAATTTATGACCTAATTTCATCCAATTTCGTTGATTTAGATCAAAAATATGTTTTTCCCAATTTATGCATATACACATGTACCAAAAATTAGATGCTACATTGGCAGGAGTAGACCATGAGACGTTTAGATGGGGACTAAGCTTCCTATACAAAAAAAATAAAAAAAAAAATTATAAATATATAAGGAGTAACAAAATGTATCTTAAATATTTTAACATTAATGTAAATATCAAAATAAATAAGTAAAAAAATGCATGAATCATATTATTTTTCAATTTTTGGGTTGATGAATAGATATTAGAACAATGGGTAAAATCACGGTCACCCCTGAGGTAAGATCAAATTACGAAGAAACCCTCATGTTTGGGTAATTACAATCAACCCCTCAGCCATGAATCTTCTCACACGTCCACTATTGTAGTGTCAAATTCAGTGGAATTATGTGGAATATTCTTTGGTTTGTATCCATATTACCCCATTCGAGTTCCACATTTTGAAACAAGATGATCATAAGATGTGTCTCTTGGCTTGTAAAAATCAAATTGTGGTGCATAAAAAACGACGTACATTATTGCACAAAACGAGTACAAACTAGAGAACATTCCACAGAACCTAGAAGATTATGCTGAATTTGACACCATAAAAGTGAACGTGTAAGAAAAATCATAACTGGGGGTGATTGTAATTACCAAACAATGTATATGCATGCACAATGAATAATTATTTAACCTCATGTACAGTTAACAAACACCCAACATAAATAACTCGGTGTAACATCGAATAACTCTCTACGTACTAACTTACAAAAGGAGTCACATCTCATGGACGTGGAAAAATTGGCAGAAGATATTATTTTTTGTAGTCTTAAAAAACTAAAATTAGTAATAAAAATAATTATTTTTTTCCTTAAGAAATGACATTAATATTGTCTATAAAAAATTATAACATAGGCCTCAATTTTGTTATCCAGGACCCCTAATTAAGTTCTAGGGCAGGTCTGCTCCTGTATAATTATTTTCCCAACTAATTAAACTAATTAAGCTTAACTATTGTTTAACTATATACAAGTATAGATAAAACTCATATATATATATATATATAGAGTCAGCTATATACAATATAATGAGAAATGCATTAAAATTAGCACTAATTAAAATCCCAGCAACTTGATCATGCTCCATATATGTATCTATCATATGTATATATATATATGCTCCTCGAGACATCGTCAATCGAAACGTGCATGCAAATCGACAACGATGAAGTTCTTATGCATGAAACTACAATGTCATTTGTCTGTCCTTTTACTATTATTTCTGTACTCTTGTAATAATACTATTGCTCGAGCTACCGTAGCGAAAGTGCCCGGAAATAAACGTTACGTTTCCGGCAGTCGTATTTTTTGGAGACTCGATAGTCGACTCCGGCAATAATAATTACATTATCACATTACTTAGATGCAATTTCGCTCCTTATGGCCAAGATTTCATTGGAGGAAAGTCTACTGGAAGATACTCTAATGGACTATTTCCATCAGACATTCTTGGTACATTTTT